ATGATTGACGCTTGTGGCGGTGTGGAGGTGAGTTTAACCTCCGTGGGTTAAGGGTTTTTTCTTTTCACATTGTTTGACAGTTTGCGTCTCTGTCTGTCTGTCTGTCTTCGTCTGTTTGTCACTGTTCGCCAGTCCGTTCGTCTGTCCGTATATTTTGTCCCTTTTTCTGTCGCATCTGAGAGGAAGAGACAGTGAAGGAGGACAGGAAGTTAACGGTGAACTGTGTGTGTGTGTGTGTACATGTGCGACGGACGTCGTAGTATCGTAGAGGGGGGGGGGGAAGGATAGTGGTGGGGGAGGTCGTAGTATCGTAGACGGGGTACGATAGTGGTGGGGGAGGTCGTAGTATCGTAGACGGGGTACGATGGTGGTGGGGGAGGTCGTAGTATCGTAGACGGGGTACGATAGTGGTGGGGGAGGTCGTTGTATCGTAAAACACCAGGAAAGATCTACACGAACAAGCAGCAGACCTACACGAACAAGCGGCAGACCTACACGAACAAGCGGCAGACCTACACGAACAAGCAACAGACCCACACGAACAAGCAGCAGACCTACACGAACAAGCAGCAGACCCACACGAACAAGCGGCAGACCTACACGAACAAGCAGCAGACCTACACGAACAAGCAGCAGACCCACACGAACAAGCAGTAGACCTACACGAACAAGCAGCAGACCTACACGAACAAGCAGCAGACCTACACGAACAAGCAGCAGACCTACACGAACAAGCAGCAGACCCACACGAACAAGCAGCAGACCTACACGAACAAGCAGCAGACCCACACGAACAAGCGGCAGACCTACACGAACAAGCAGCAGACCCACACGAACAAGCAGCAGACCTACACGAACAAGCAGCAGACCTACACGAACAAGCAGCAGACCTACACGAACAAGCAGCAGACCTACACGAACAAGCAGCAGACCCACACGAACAAGCAGCAGACCTACACGAACAAGCAGCAGACCTACACGAACAAGCAGCAGACCTACACGAACAAGCAGCAGACCCACACGAACAGGCAGCAGACCTACACGAACAAGCAGCAGACCTACACGAACAAGCAGCAGACCCACACGAACAAGCACCAGACCCACACGAACAAGCAGCAGACCCACACGAACAAGCAGCAGACCTACACGAACAAGCAGCAGACCTACACGAACAAGCAGCAGACCCACACGAACAAGCAGCAGACCCACACGAACAAGCAGCAGACCTACACGAACAAGCAGCAGACCTACACGAACAAGCAGCAGACCTACACGAACAAGCAGCAGACCTACACGAACAAGCAGCAGACCCACACGAACAAGCAGCAGACCTACACGAACAAGCAGCAGACCTACACGAACAAGCAGCAGACCTACACGAACAAGCAGCAGACCTACACGAACAAGCAGCAGACCTACACGAACAAGCAGCAGACCTACACGAACAAGCAGCAGACCCACACGAACAAGCACCAGACCCACACGAACAAGCAGCAGACCCACACGAACAAGCAGCAGACCTACACGAACAAGCAGCAGACCTACACGAACAAGCAGCAGACCCACACGAACAAGCAGCAGACCTACACGAACAAGCAGCAGACCCACACGAACAAGCAGCAGACCTACACGAACAAGCAGCAGACCTACACGAACAAGCAGCAGACCTACACGAACAAGCAGCAGACCCACACGAACAAGCAGCAGACCTACGTGAACAGACACCTGCTCACCATTTATGAACTACAGGAGTTATTTCTGTACTCCACCCACCTCCAAGTTTACAAAAACATCAGATATAATTAATTACTATATTAACATTAATACAAAAAACACACACAAACACGATATTATGTTTAGTGTTGTGTTTTGTTTTCAGTCATTGAACTAGCCTCTTTTTTTTGCGTGATTCTTTCGCGTGTTTTAATGTGTTTTTTGTCGGGGAAGTTTGTCGTGTGGGTCGTGGTGCTGAAGGTCGTTCACTCGTGAGACGCATTTCTTAAAGCATTGGTAGGATCACTGTGGCTGTGGAGGTCTGGCTGTATTGATGGTGTTTCTTATATGTTATGGTGATCTGTGGTGTGTGTCGTGTTTGTGTTGGTGCTGTGGTGTGTGTGTGTGTGTGTGTGTGTGTGTGTGTGTGTGTGTGGTGGTGTGTGGTGGGGTGATGGTGGGGTGCTGTGGTGTGTGGTGTGTGTGTGTGTGTGTGGTGGTGTGTGGTGAGGTGATGGTGGGGTGCTGTGGTGTGTGGTGTGTGTGTGGTGGTGTGTGGTGGGGTGATGGTGGGGTGCTGTGGTGTGTGGTGTGTGTGTGTGTGTGTGGTGGTGTGTGGTGAGGTGATGGTGGGGTGCTGTGGTGTGTGGTGTGTGTGTGGTGGTGTGTGGTGGGGTGATGGTGGGGTGCTGTGGGGTGTGTTATGCTGTGGTGATGGTGCTGTGGTGATGGTGATGGTGCTACCGTGTATAGTGATGGTGCTGTGGTGTGTGGTGATGGTGTAATGGTGCGTCAACATTAAAATAAAGAAACCCCCATTGGACCTATTAACCCATACGAGGCACCTCCTATTTATATCCCCTCAAACCCCCATTCATCCACATGTCTAACCTACGCTTGAAACAACCCAGCGTTCCCTCGTCTATTAAGTTTTTTTTTCTCATTGGTTTCAATAAATTTACAACCTTTTTTTCCCCCAACCAGTATTTACCCAGGTCCTTCCTGACTCTAAACATATCCAATTTATATCCACCGTTTCGTCTATTGTGTTATATGATATAAAATATATATATTACGTGTTATAAAATCTCTTTGTTATAGTATTTTTGTCAAGTCATTCCTAATTCGTCGTATTTTTAGAGAATGTAAAATTTACCTTTTATTAATATAAGTTTATAATTGAGCTTCCTAATTACTGAACTGCCAAACGTAATTGGGGGGTCGTAACAATAGGGGGGGGGGGAGGGGATGAAAGTGATGTGATAATATTAGAACTTCAGTTGGGCCTAAGGCCTATATCAACCTCTAATTGGGTCGTTAAGGTCATCACAATAGCTTATTGAACGAGGGGGTTATACACTCTCAGTATACCCCATTAAAAGATCAAAGATATACCCCCTCGGTATACTTTTGATCTTATATATGACTTATTGCTGACACTTATATTTGATATAATTGATATATTGATATAGTAGTGTCCTTGTTTCATTCCCTACTTTTAAGTATTATTTTATTTTGAATTAATTTTTTTTCCTTAAAATTTCAACTACTCCCTCATGGACATGAATAGCCCGTAATTACACGATGATGTGTTAGTTATTGCTTAAATATTATTTGATGCGGTGTTAGCGAGATGCTCATCTTATTATATGGTATTATATAGTATTATACGGTATTATACGGTATTATATAGTATTATATGATATTATATAGCCTCTATAACTCGTCACCTTGTGCTCAAGAGTCCTGCTGGTGACTCCTTTAGATAATCTTACCTTAGAACACAATCTTTGACAATCACTTACGGCTTCTTCGTCTGAATTGATCGAAACTTATATTTACGACTCACTTTTTTATGCCCAAAAAGTGTTGTTTGTGTTTATAAAAGTCAGATCACATTTAACGAGAGATTTTATGTTCTTTATCGCTAATAATGACGGGTAAGAATGGCTCTGATTTTTATTATAGATTCTGAGGTGCCTTTATTGATTGTAAAGTGCCTTTAATGTGGCACTCGGTGGCAGGTGTGTGTGGGAGGGGTCACAGCAGGTGTGGCGAGGCCTCCACAGGTGTGGCGAGGGAGACAGAAGTTCTACTGGCAGGTGTCAGGACCCCATACGGTATAAGGGGACGACCTCCGGTGGTGGTGTAGGGGAAGGTCGTAGGTGGTAGTATCTTGGAGGTCGTAGGTGGTTGTATCTTGGAGGTCGTAGGTGGTAGTATCTTGGAGGTCGTAGGTGGTTGTATCTTGGAGATCGTAAGTGGTAACATCTTGAAGATCGTAGTATATGGATAAGGAACGAGGGTAAATACTAAACAAAGTCTTGTATAGTGCCGTCGAAGACATTTATTTAATACTTGTAATCATTCCATGCAGAATAGACCTGCACCAAATAGTAAAGATTACTATTACTAAAATAGTAAAATAGCTTACTACGCACATACAATTTTTATAACTTATAAATAACTCGTACAAAAAAGTCTTAAAATAAGTTACACAGCGAATAAATTATAAATAAATTAAGAAAATACAAAAAAACAAATTATGTACAGTTTCTTAACACTGAATAATTAAACAAAAATTTTACAAAGAGGATTGTGTTCCTATGTACAAAAATAATATTCCTTTGGTGTGTGTGTGTGTGTGTGGCCTGTGGAGGAGAAAACCCAAGCTACAGCAGGACTTACGAACTAGGCAAGATCTCTCTATCTCTTACGTGAATCCCTTATGTCTTGCGCGTTACTCTTACAGCCCGGTACTTGGACCGTTCTCTCAGGCGGGCCCAGTCATGTGTCGAGGAACTATGTATATATATATATATATATATATATATATATATATATATATATATATATATATATATATATATATATATATATATATATATGTGATAATGTCAGACCACGGAGGAAGAATTGAAACAGGAATTTTCTTAAGTACTTGAGAGGAATCTTCATTCATTCCTTCTGAAGATGTATTAATATACGAAAGTACTTAATGAAATTCCTGTTTTAATTCTTCCTCCGTGGTCTGACATTGTCACATTTTTCATCACGTGTTAAATTTTCGTGATTTACACACATATATATATGTGAGTGTGTGTGTGTGTGTGTGGGTTTCTGAGTGCCCAGGTACCTTCTTGGGCACTCAGAAGGGACACTCTTGTCCCTTCTTCTTGTCACCGTGGTACTCCGAGATGGGGTGAGGGGCACTCAGTTGAGGGGGGTGTGGGAGGAGGCCAGTGCCTACCCAGTCACAAGCAACACTGTAGGTGAAATGTAAACTA